TAGGAGAGTGCTATAAAGTTTCTGTTTTAGTCTCAATGTTGCTGTGACCAGACTACTACTTTTTTGTAATAGAATGTAAATCAATAATAAGAATTCTTCTTTGTAAATGTTCTAACATGTAAATACATACAGTCCCAATAATTCAGACAAGTTTGAACTACACAAGCATTTCTCTTGTGTCTCTATAGTAGTAAATTAATCTGTGCTTTTGAAACATATGTTAGACTTCCAAAATTTGCAATGAACAAAATTGCTTTTGAGAACTGACAACAATGTTTATAACCATGCGGACAGGTTGGGATCAAAGTGCACATGTCACAATCTTTTACAGTGTGACCTTAAACATGGTATTATGCATTTAATGTATGAGATACCAACTATTCATTTTACCCTACATTGCTGATATAGTGACAGTTTGTGGTAGAGAAGAGTAAATCCTAAATAAAAAATACAGGAATACTGAAGAAAAAAAACAACTGTACATATGCATTTTAGAGATTTTAGAGATTGTGCAAATGTCATATGCAAACTGTACGATGGACAAACACATGTTCATTCTTCACATTGGAACCACCTTGCACTCCGAGTCAGACTGACATTGTCAATTAACAGACACGCCTTGAGTACAAATACTTTTGTAACACAGATTTTTTTTTATACAGCAGACTTATACATTTTACTAAAACCCTGACACATTTCATGTAGATAATATGAAGTAAATTCAGAAATATAGTCAACACTCCTTCTCCAAAACTGGCTCAGTCCAATCGACTGATCTTGTGTACATTTGATTAATGACATTGCATCACAAGTGCTCTATTAAAACAGTTCTTATTTTGTGATTCATATTATAAACTCTATATGCCTACAGTATATTATTTTAAGTCCAATGAAGATTTAATTCAGGAAGATATAAGATACGAATAGTTAAGTTAAATCATGTTAGTCTCTCACTAACTATACTCAACTTATTTTGCTTCTTGGTCACTTTTTTTTTTAACTTTGGTAAAGTATCTCATCAAATATCATGAAAATTTAATAGCCCTAGTTTATACTAACCATGTACTTGTAATATTGGAAGATTAGTCAAACTTTTTAATCTAAAATTGGAAGCTAAGTTTACACAACTGTTACCTGATGAATAAGAAAAAAATTGCTTACACATTTATCAAAAACATATGTGTGTGTATATATATATTACATGTAATATTTTATTTGAAGAAAAATCCCAGAACAACTACTTGGTAAAGAAAAGTACATGTAAGATGAAATAATACAGCTGTTTAGTGGGGCATTCAATCTACTTAATGTTTGAAATCAGTTAGTAAACAAAACTGTGAAGCCATCAGGTAATAAAAAAATTTAGCTTATCGAAACAAATACAAGTGTTAACATTAGTCCAAATATTTATTTAAAAACAACAGAAAGTTTCTAGAACAATTTATAATGTATGATTTTACAGTTTACTAGCAATATTAATAAACAGGAAAGAATTATTGTGATTGTTATATAGATGATACAAGATTCTTCAAGGGTCATTTAGCCATTGTCACCTACATGTTCCTCTAAAATGATCTGGCAAATGTATCTTCCAGACTGTAGGAGATGAATCTGTAGTTCTGTGAAACTTCTCAAATTAAATTAGTATTAGGTTTAACCTAGCCAACTGATAAATTCTTAAGGTATACCTCAAACATTTTGTTTTTAGCCAAATTAGGCAATACTGTTTAAGCCTTTTAATGCTTAAAACCAACGGTGTTTTGCAACTCATGAGAACAGATTTTTTAAGAATGTCTCTTCCACTATACCACATCCCCAAAACATACATACTTCCTCATACAACAAAATTAAAACTTACTATATCATTTCCAATAGGCACCTTTACAATAGCATCTAATATAGGGCTAATGTCAAATAAACACCAATCTTTATCAAATGATTATTCTAGAATGATACAAAAATGTTTAGAAACTGTATAGAATGTTGATAGCCACAAAGCGTGCCAGTGATGAAAATAACAGCCAAAAATAAAAATTAAGCTTAGATTTTAATATGTACTTTTAAATTATTTTTTCTTTCAGACAGTTTAGCAAGTTTGTTTCCTAGACTTGCTAGATTTTATACAAAGTTATAAAATGCAATTTCTAATATTCAAGATGCTTCCCAGAGATCCATAATAATAGACAAAATTGTGTTCTTACACCTGGCTAATTTTAAAGCAAGAAACAGTCCATTTGGTAAAAATAAACATGTAGAATGCCATCCTTTCTATGGAATCTAGAATCTCTGTTTGTTAATGAGGTGGACAGGCCTGAGGAACAAATAAAAATGGAAATGAAATTTTGTAGGACAAGGGCAAAACCTTAAGAATCCCATCTGACTGACCTATATGGTTGCTTTTATTGTTTTTTTGCTTTTGTTTTTGTAGATAAATTTTCACTTGTAGCCTTATTACACAATAAATGTGTTGAATATAAAATTTGGTATAAAATATATATACAATTCAAATATCCACGGATAAAACACCTATCCAAATTCACTGATTATTATTTGATAACCAAAAACAAAAGGATACAAAGGTATGCTACAGGGTATTCTATCTTTGTGTTAAAATGATTTATTGAACGCAAGTTTTTCCTACATCCTCACAAAAATAATTAATCAAAAACAAAACAAAATATATTCATATTGGGAGTTTAACTAAATGTACCTGACCCTGTATTGGAAAAGGAATGTTGACTATAACTCCAAATTTTCAATATGTATCTAGACAAAATAATTTAGAATGATTGCATCAGTGATCGAAATGTCGTGCCTGTTTTAAAAATATTCATCCTTACTGTAAATTAATACTTATAGTCTGTAAGTTAACTTGAAATGAAACTATTAATATAAACTACCACAGTAATTGCATTTTCTTCATATAATTTATGTTCTTTGTGCCTAACTTCCCCATCATCTTACTTTTATGTCACTAAATTTATAGACCTAACTTGATTCCTCAATACCAAGAAGTAGCACCTCAGATAAAAACACAAACTAAACCATCTAAATTCTGTAAGGAACAGAGAAATTATATACATCTTACCCCTTTTAACCAAAGTTATACTGTAAATTTCTGTATCACAAATCTTACAAAAACTAACCAAGGCTAATGTTACCATTAAAAAACAAGCCTCACTAAAAGAATCTGCCTCTGCTATAGACATAACACAATGTTTTGGGACATGGGACCTATTGGTCCATCTCAGCTGTTCCATCCTCTAAACTAAATTGAAATGATTAAAAATAAATAAAAAATAATCAAGACA